TTGTGCACGTGTAACACATAACTCATTTTTGTTGATATATGTTAATATAACCGTTAAAAAAAATATAATTTTATCCTANTTTTTATCACTTTTCTTCCATATAAAAAAAAATTATCACTTTGTGGTTGTTTTACCTCTGTTGATATTTTTATCACATTTATGAATGTTTTTACTATTATTATTATAATTACTTTTTTAGACACCACAAAAATTGTAATTACACCACAAAAGTAATAAATGTGTACTTGGGACTTCAATTTTAATCGGGAGGGTCACGTATTTCATGTTTTTAAACTTGGGTTAATTGTAAGTTGCACCTCGAAAGATAGTTCGAATTTTAATTTAGACTCTCAAAGATCAAAATTTTAATTTGCACCCTCAAAGATATAAATTTGTATCAATGTGCACCCCCAAAGATCAAATATTTTAATTTGCACCCTCAAATATAGAAATCTGTATCAATGTGTACCTAAAACTAAATTGATAAATTATACCTAAATCCCCTCATGTTTGTCACTTAATCATTTGGACCCCTTCATATTTAGAATATTATTCCTACATCTCATAGGGTTTGTGCACGTGTAACACGTAACCCATTTTCGTAAATATATGTTAATATAACCGTTAAAAAAATATGATTTTATCCTAATAAAAAATTATAATTTCATATTACCCTTTATTTTGTGAGTCCGATATACTTTAAAGTTCAAAATCAAGCTTATCATTTGAATGTCCAATAAAATGTAGATATTTATATAATATTTTTTATATCCAATGCAATATATCACTCAATGTGTAATCATTTATTCTATTAGACATTTAAATGGTAAGCTTGATTTTGAACTTTAGAATATATTAGACCCATAAAATAAAGGGTAATATAAAATTATAATTTTTTATTATGATAAAAATCATATTTTTTAACGGTTATATTAACAGATATCAACGAAAANGTAATCATTTATTCTATTAGACATTTAAATGGTAAGCTTGATTTTGAACTTTAGAATATATTAGACCCATAAAATAAAGGGTAATATAAAATTATAATTTTTTATTATGATAAAATCATATTTTTTAACAGTTATATTAACAGATATCAATGAAAAGGAGTTATGTGTTACACGTGCACAAACGTCATGAGATGTAAGAGTAATATTTTTAATGTGAATGAGTCCAAATGATTAAGCGACAAGCATAAAGAGATCTAGGTATAATTTATCAATCTAGTTTTAGATGCACATTGATACAAATTTTTATCTTTGAGGGTGTAAATTGAGATTTTTGATCTTTGAGAGTACACATTGATACAAATTTCTATCTTTCAGGGTATAAATTAAAATTTTTGATCTTTGAAGATGTAAATTAAAATTTGAACGATTTTTCAAAGTACAATTTATAATTAACCCTAATTTCAACGACATTTTTTTCTTTTTCTAAAATTTCGCTGACGTCTCGGTCGGTGTTTGTCTGGTTACCGAAGTAAAATAAATTTTTATTTTATTAATTTATTCTCAACCATTCTACAAATTCACATATTAACTATTATAATGTATTAAATATATGCACACGAGTAATGTAAGAAAGTGGGTACGTGTCATTTTTTTTAGACGATATGTTTATATAGTGACTAAATTGACATAAACTGAATATTTTATTAGAGACCAAATTGACAAAATTAATATAATGAGACAAAATATATTTTATCTGTTCTTAAATATATGTTGTTTAAGGTTTTTACACAGGAATTAAAGAAGCTATTAAATAATTGTAATATGAGTAAAAATTAATTACACAAGACGACAATACCCTTATTCAATACGTATTAGGAAGGAAAGGAATATGAAAGACACTTAACCTCCACATAATCTAATGCATTGAAAAGTTAAGGATAAATTTGGAAGAAAAAATATTAATTATGATTTGATTTTATTAAACGACAGATATTATGGAACAAAAAAAATTGTGTAAAACTACAAATGTTTAGGAACGGATGGAATATTAAATATATGCACACTAGTAATGTAAGAAAGTGGCTAAGTGTCATTTTTTAGACGATCTGTTTATGTAGTGACTAAATTGACATAAACTGAATACTTTATTAGGAACTAAATTGACAAAATTGATATAATGAGACAAAAAATATATTAATTTTAGGGACTAAAAATACCATAAACCCTAAAAACATTCAAAATATAATAAATGATGACACAATATCGATTTTTTTTTTATTGTGTACCATAGACTTGTCCTAGAAGTGGTATTTGTGAAACAAGTATTGGAGCAAAACTAGTGCACATTTCAAGTAGCTTAATTGCAAATTCCAATTCCACGACCCAGGAAGCAGCCAAACATAGCCTAAATTGGTGTCAATCTGACCCATCAACACAAATCTGACATGATTCTAAAATTGAAATTATTGATAAATATGCATAATAAAGTGAGTTGGATTAATGTGTGACACCTATAATACATTAAATAAATTTTTTCTTATTTTTTCGTATTTACACCAACAAGATACGAATTATAATGAACGGCACGAAAATAACAATACGCAGATCATGCGACACAAATTGACACCCTTAGTAAATTACTCATTATTTTTTTGTCAGGCATATAAGCTAAGTAAAAATTACACTTTGAGTCCTTCAACCTAGAACTCATGTCCAACATTGGCAATGCCATATCAGTCATCATATTTCTCTCCACCTCCAACTATGTTGTCCCATTACCCCAATTGCAAACATCTGTTCAANTGCCATATCAGTCATCATATTTCTCTCCACCTCCAACTATGTTGTCCCATTACCCCAATTGCAAACATCTGTTCAAATTAAAAGAAAGACCAGTGCAAACTATTGTGAATACAATAACATTGTATAAAAAGGAGGTGTCTTTAAACTAGTCCGGACACTGTTAAACCAAAAAAACTTGATAGAGAGGAGATACTATGTGATTGCAACGGTAGCTAACTGAGTGTAAAGTGAAGTGCAATTTATTCTATAAATAATCCCTAGCTGCTAGGTATTGATTATGCTCGTAAACTTTTACACAAGCCACCTTATTAATCACCCAGCCAGTGCGTGAGCCAGCCATACTCAACTCTGCCCATTTTCCTCCCAAAAAGGGGCTCTAAGCCTATAACAAAGGTTACAATTCTGCATGCACTAAAATATACATCTTCTAGCAAAACATGTATACAGGGTTTAATGCAAGCCACAACGTAGAACCAAACAATCGACACCAGAGGTGTCAAAATATGACACGATCCATTAATACGACACGAAATTAAAGANGTAATGTTGCAATAAAAAAATTATAATATTTGTAGGTCACTTTTGTAAATATTTTTATCATTTTTGTAGTACTTGCTATCAATCAATCTCAAGCACCACAAAAAGTAATAAAAATACGAATCAATAGGATTTTTAGTCTCTAAAGTATGTATTTTTTATCAATTTTGTGTTCAATGTATCAATTTTGTCAATTTAGTTCCTAAAGTATTCAATTCATGTCAATTTGATTCCTATATAAACATACCGTTAAATTTTTTGACAAAAATAACAACGTGTCATTTATTTAGTCGGTATCACATTTCCAACATGTGCTCATTATGTCAAAAACTTAACAGTCCATCTATGTAAGGATTATATTAATACGAATTAAATACTCTAACGATCAAATTGATAAAATTACAATGAGAACTAAACTGACAAAAAATATAAATTTTAAGAACTAAAATTACTAAAAACCATAAAAACATCCAAAAATAATAAATAATGATATGATATCCATTATTTTTTTTATTGTGTACTATTGACTTGTCGTGGATTTGGTATTGTGAAACAAGTATTGGAGCAAAACTAGTGCACATTTCAAGTAGCTTAATTGCAAATTCCAATTCCACCACCCAGAAAGCCGCCAAACATAGCCTATAAATTATAGGGGTGTCAATCTGACCTATAAACACAGATTTGAAAAGCTTCTAAAATTGACTCTACTCGTAAATATGCATAATAAGTGGGTAATATGCATAATAAGTGGGTTGACACGTGATATAGATTTTTTTCTTTTGTAGTGATATCAATACGGTAGGAATTACAATGAACAATACCAAAATGACAATACGTAGATGATGTAACACAAATTGACACTCCCTAATAAATTAGTCATCGTATTTTTGTTAGGCATATAAGCTAAATAAAAATCACAATTTGAGTCCTTCAACCTATAACGCATGTCCAAGGCATTGCCATATCAGTCATCATATTTCTCTGCACATTCAACTATGTTGTCACATTACCCCAATTGCAAACATTTGCTTATATTGAAAGAAAGACTGATGCTAACTATTGTGAATACAATAAGAAAACTCTATATACGTGCGTGTAAACTGGTCCGGATACAGTTAAACCAAAAATTTTTTTATAGAGAGGAGGTACTATATGATTGGAACGATAGCTAATGAGTGTAATTTATGCATCAGATTGCAATTTATGCAATGTGTTGCCTAAGTTCGGATCCTTTATCTTCATTACAACTCAACTAAACAAAGTTTTTATCTCGGTGTCTTTCACCTACTAATGCCAAAACTCAGGCTCCACCCATGACCCAACTGAACATATGACCGGAGAGACCGGCAGCCTGGCTTTAACCAAACTCAACTCTGCCCATTTTCGTCCCAAAAAGGGGCTCTATGCCTCTAACAAAGGTTACAATTCTGCATGCACTACAATATACATCTTCTAGCAAAACATGTATAGAGGGTTTAATGCAAGCCTCAACGTAGAACCAAACAATTGACACCAGGGGTGTCAAAATATGACATAATCCATTAATACGACACGAAATTAAAGAGTTTGAATTTTTTTAAGTCATCCGTTCTGTAAACGAGTGGACACGACACAACATAATTAATAAACAAATCTGTTATAGATAAAATTAATCAAAAAAAATACATGACACGACTCTTGTATATATTAATTATACACGACACAAATCCGATATAACATGAGTCATTAAAAATGAATTAATAAATAAATCGGGTATGGATAAAATATTTTTTGACACAAACTCGCTAAGATTTAACACGAATCTGCCTCATCCGACACAATTGACAGACCTAATCAACACCCTCCCCCAGTTATGAATAATGAGGTTGATATGTATGTATATAGATTAGTAGGGTAAGAACAAGAACTAGGTTTAGAGACAAAGGTTTCCATTATTTTACCTCATAGAAATTACATTATGCATGCTTACAGATGAGTGAAACTATCCAACAGCTTTTTTGTGTTGCATCACATGACCAAAACATGGAGAAATAAGCTCACATCACTATTGATTGGTAAACATCCTCTCTTCGGGTCCTTTGTCCATAAACTGCAATAGCTACTACCGTTCCAAACAATGCTATGACCCAAACAAAATTGGGTATTGCCAGCTTTTCTTACACCTGCAAGAGACCAGTACCATGTTATTTAAGAAGACTCTGAACTGAGGGTGGCGTACCTTGGTGCAATGGTAATGTTGCTCCATTATGACCTGAAGGTCACGGATTCGAGTCGTAGAAACAACCTCTTTGTTTGTTAAAATAAAATTGCGTATATCTAGCTCTCCACAAATTTTGCAATAGCAGGAGCCTCGTATACTAAATACGCCTTTTTAATAAGACTGTTAACTCAAGCACCCATTTCCTCGTTCAGTGTCCTCGTGGTTCTCTACGAATATATTCTAAGTTCACAATCAGTAGCATCTCTTAGCATGATGAAAACAAAATCTTGTTATTCCCAAATACATCAACAAATTCACCCCTCATTGTTGTAATTGATTAATATAAACATAGTTGTTAATATCGTACGATATACGATACGATACATAAAATACGTTTCGATACATGAAAAAAGACAATATGTATCACTTAAATGTATTGGTTTATATTGTATCTTGTGATACACGATACGATACACTCGATATGATAATACATATGAGTTGTCCGATAAGGGGCGAAACAGATCAAAAAAAAATTTCTTCAAATTTTAACCAAAAAATCATTCATTTTCACTTAGAAGTAATTTTTTCAAACACTAGGTAATAAAACGTCGTTTCACAATTACAGTTTTGAAAAATAAATCTTTTTTATTCGTTTTATCGTTGGAGTAAATAGTTTAATTGTTAAAAGTGTCATCCTCTGACTACTTTAAATGTTAGAAGTAGAATTCTCTAAATTTTGATATTGACGAATTATGTTAGAAACTTCAAGACTTAGATTGTTAAGTTTTTGTTTTGGTTCTTGTAATCTCTTCAAATTTTTTTAGGTGAGAAATTTGTGGTGAAATAAAATGTTATTATGACATTTTTTTTTGGTTCTTGTATGTTTTAATATCTTTTATAAAATTAAATGAAACATTACGGTATATGAAACGTTACGATATGTGGTATACAGTTTTTGAAAACAATATACCATCCGATACACGTTTTAACAACCTTAAATATGACCACATAAAAGGTAAGAGAGAACGATTTTGAAAAGAGAAAAAAGGGGCAATATCTTACTTCAAACGGAGCACGCAAGACCGATTCAGGTTTTGGTGAAGGGTCTGCAACCAAAATGTAGAAGAGCCCCATAACTCCAGTATGTCTTTGGGCACTGTTATAATTAGATTCCAGAATCAGAGTCTCCCCATCAGATATCTTGACAGACCCAGGTTGAGGATAACAGGTGGACATTCCTACAATATAACCAGCCTCATTTCCTGCTTCCTTTCCTTCTCCGTAAGTTGGTATTGATTTGCAAATAACTCGTCCATCCTAAATCAATTCACCAGACAAGAAATATGTTGGACAAACACATCGACTCCATCCAACTTGAAAAGTTTGACACGATAAAAAAGACACANAATCAATTCACCAGACAAGAAATATGTTGGACAAACACATCGACTCCATCCAACTTGAAAAGTTTGACACGATAAAAAAGACACATAGCAATCATCAAGTACCATGTCTGGTTACACTATAAAAAAAANTCTCCTCATACCCATCAGGAATTTCTGCCAGATTACCAACTTCTATTCCATAAGGATCCGGCACATGTGTGGCTGTTTTTCGTGTCTCAGATCCAAGGCCAAAATATTGTGAAAGGCCAGCCTCACATATCCCACTATTCCTCACAATGATAATATCCGATTGATGGAAACCCAAACTATCATTGAAATTTGAAATTTCAACACCTTTACGTTGGTAGTATCTCAGAGCAAGCCAGTGATGGAGATAAGTTTTGTAAAGGGGGATAGGATTTCCTGCCTTATCAACCACTTCAGCATTGAACTCCTTGATAGCAATATGACCTCTAGGAAAGTCAATATTGTAGTAGACTTTGTTCGCCACTGATCCTGGTTCCAGCACAAACTTGGGTGATAGAAATACANAAATGGACAAAACAAGTTTGAGAGATTTTTGGGTTTCCGTGAGAAGTAAACCTGAGTGTGAGTATTGAGTAAGTGGTGTAGGTGCCTTGTGAGAAAGTGTCAAGGAGTGATTGTGTTCAAGTTTAATGTGCAAGTGTCTCATGTGAGCAGTGTTGTGCAGTGTATATATGGAGAGATCTTTGTTGTATGCCACTCAGCCCATTTGAGTGCATGTGAGTATATTATTGTGTATTGTGTGATGTGTGTTGGATCTAATTACAGTTCGGAAAATTAATAAAATTTTGACACGAATAAATTTTTTATTTGTTATCATATTATATAATTATTTTTACAGTCAATGGCTCTAAATCAATTAAAATAAAATCAATGATTTTCGATACATTTCAATATGGTACCCACATTTTGTTATAGTGCTATCAAGTCTTAAATACATTTTTTGTGCATAAGTGATATGTTTTTAACCTAAAATAATTATTTTCTTTTCCACGGAGGTAGAAAAAGTTGTACCATTATGAGATTTCTGCAAAAGACCACTACAAGGGAAGTTTTTCTTGTAAAAGTTAGCTGGGTAACAATGAATTCCACTGATAATGTTCTTTTTTGATTACCTACTCTATTAGTGTAAAAAATTGATGGTTGTATTGTTGATATTAGGAACCCTAATCTTGATCTTGTCGAATCACAGGCTCTTGTCCCCTCTATAAATTTAAATTGCATCGCTACCGCCNATGGAGAGAACTTTGTTGTATGCCACTCAGCCCATTTGAGTGCATGTGAGTATATTATTGTGTATTGTGTGATGTGTGTTGGATCTAATTACAGCTCGGAAAATTAATAAAATTTTGACATTAATAAATTTTTTATTTGTTATCATATTATATAATTATTTTTACAGTCAATGGCTCTAAATCAATTAAAATAAAATCAATGATTTTCGATACATTTCAATATGGTACCCACATTTTGTTATAGTGCTATCAAGTCTTAAATACATTTTTTGTGCATAAGTGATATGTTTTTAACCTAAAATAATTATTTTCTTTTCCACGGAGGTAGAAAAAGTTGTACCATTATGAGATTTCTGCAAAAGACCACTACAAGGGAAGTTTTTCTTGTAAAAGTTAGCTGGGTAACAATGAATTCCACTGATAATGTTCTTTTTTGATTACCTACTCTATTAGTGTAAAAAATTGATGGTTGTATTGTTGATATTAGGAACCCTAATCTTGATCTTGTCGAATCACAAGCTCTTGCCCCCTCTATAAATTTAAATTGCATCGCTACCGCCACGCATAAATAATGAAAACACTATACTGCTCAATAAAATAATTTAAACTGTTTACGTTCAACGCATATGTGCATCAACTAGTACATATAAATCTATGTTTGTATGTATAACAACGAGCTATGCTTGCAAGAGCTGCTAGCATTGCATAATGCATTTCAACCGGTAAGTCTTGAAAATCATCAAAGAAGGCACTTGGGATGGTAAGACTATTACAGACCTAGCAGATGAAAATATATGCAATCAAGTGATTTGAAGAAGGGATGTGGCAAAAACAAGAAGTCGAATAAAGAAACTCACCTCTCCATATAAAGTTGAACCAATTCCCCCGGCATGCTGGTGAGCAACAGCGTAGATGACATCACCACCAGTGGGCAGAATAAGGCTCACCCTTTTGGTATTATTGCAACTGTCACTAGCCATGCTAGTGGAACAAGATTCAACATCATACTCAATCTGTAGCAAGACAGTTCAATGGGTTCAGTAGCCAGAAAAATGATCATTCAATAAGAAGACAGAGATGCTATACAAATTATAAGACATCACCAAGTAGAAGATTTATGCAAGCCATTTCAAGATGATAAATCCAATGAACCATATATGAAAATGCTCACTCACCGCGCAATCATGTCTTCTACTGAGTCCTGTTGATTGATCAGACCTTTTCCATGTATCAGTAACATCAAATATATATATATTTACAGGATCAATAGAATTATCCCAATCAACCCACTTGACTGTGTACCTCAAGTAGAGGCTTCTCTTGGCACTATCAAAGCCTTTTCTCAATCTACATCGTGTCTCATCATAGCAACAATACAAGCCCCCTACATAATGTGGCTTCAAAGGCTGGCCATGTTCATCCTCTGTAACATTGTACAAATCACACCTGCATTCAATGCACCCCAACCTATCTTCTACACCCCGTGTATCAATAGCATGCACATTGAGCAACCATTTCTCCTCATACCCATCAGGAATTTCTGCCAGATTACCAACTTCTATTCCATAAGGATCCGGCACATGTGTGGCTGTTTTTCGTGTCTCAGATCCAAGGCCAAAATATTGTGAAAGGCCAGCCTCACATATCCCACTATTCCTCACAATGATAATATCCGATTGATGGAAACCCAAACTATCATTGAAATTTGAAATTTCAACACCTTTACGTTGGTAGTATCTCAGAGCAAGCCAGTGATGGAGATAAGTTTTGTAAAGGGGGATAGGATTTCCTGCCTTATCAACCACTTCAGCATTGAACTCCTTGATAGCAATATGACCTCTAGGAAAGTCAATATTGTAGTAGACTTTGTTCGCCACTGATCCTGGTTCCAGCACAAACTTGGGTGATAGAAATACACCAGATTTTACTCCATTTTCGTCTCTTAGACGAGCTTGTGAATTTTGAACACTTATTACCAAGAACAAAATGGCTAGGAAAAGTAACCAAACTTGAGGACAACGCGCCATTTATTTCTCTTTCTGTCAATATATCTGTAGGGAGGATGAACATTTAAGTGAATCTAGAATACACTATGTAGGAACAGAGTGGTAGTATTGGAGACATATATATAACACATACCACATAACATCTCATTGCAGATGGGGGTTCCCCCCTCCAATTCGCTTGAGAAGTAACAACAAATCTTAGAGTTGCAAGTCATTTCTTTTGGTTCAAAAACTTCTAGTTACTTTCTGGTCTTTGAACCGGCAATAACAGAGCTAGACTGAAAGAGACTCTCTCTCTCTGTTCACAGAGTTTACCTTTAATGTTCACAGAGCCTTACAGAGTTTACCTTTAGAGACATGTTTTCATCCAAAAAATTTGCCAAAAAACTAGTTACAGAGCGCATATACTTCTGAGAGACAAAATCAAGATATAACAGGGGACAGAACTGCAATTAGGAGTACCACAAAGGGTCATCTTCTAATTTGTTCATCGATATAAGAATATAAATAAATCACTGTTTCTACAACTAAGCTGTTGAGATAATTCCCAAATAAGCACCATGTGAAGGTTTTTTTTTTCTTCATTAGTGGTGAGGGGGGAGGGGCGACCAGGTAATAGCCGTGGGCGTAATCAGGTCATTCAACTTTGAATATTTGGTTTGAGGCATAACTATTATTCAAAAGATAACTTGTCTCTACGGTATCACCAAAGTCAATCAATAAACGGCGTTATTTTTTTCTTAATAACTACATAGCGTCAAAAACAACCCAAAATATGTATGGATTACGACTTGACCACGGCTTGGATGATTAAGTTTTTTTTTTTTTGGTCTGAATATGATTAAGTTCAAAACACCATATCCATACATCCAGAAACTATAAAAAGTACTGAGGTTCAAGTTTTAGATATTTGAAATTCTGTTCAAAAAAAGAAAACTTCGAAATTGACAAAAGACAATTATTGATTACGATTTTCTTTTCTTATATACACAAACCAAGAAGTAATCCAGGGAAACGGGGAGAGGGAAAGCAAATTGAAGTTAGTGATACATTAATCTCTTGGTAAACTTCAAACTTACGAAGTACGGATATTTCGTTGAGGATGACGTACTCATATCGGATACGTCAGATATTCGAGGATATGTATCAGATATACCTTCTACGTATCCGATGATAATTAAATATTAGGATCTTTCACGGATACTTTTGTAATCAAGCAACATATATAATTTTTTAATTGAACTTTTAACATCTCTTTTCGAATTCACATACCATACAATACATTAACAAAAAATTCATATTATTTCAAAGACATGAGTGTTTTTTAAGTATTATTTACAATTACATATCACAAAGTATAAAATAAAACTATTATATTATAATATTAGCAAAAATTACTTTTAAATACTAGATAAATATTAACTTTGATTCCTTCAATTAGTTATTTCATGTTGTGAATATACCACAGTGACACGATATATATATTTTTGAAATTTAAAAAAAATATTAAATTTTCTTATATGTTAAAGAACTACAAAAATATATAAATATTAAGTTAGTTGAAAATAATAAAAATATTAAATATATTTTATTATAGCCGTATCTTAACCCGTACCCGTATCCTATTTTTTGAAACTTTATTGTATCGTATCGTACTCGTATTCTGTATTCCTATTCATGCTTCATAGCTTCAAACTGATCACCGAGTGAAAAACAAAATTAAAAGCACAATCACCAACAATTTTGCGAGAAGAGAGCGTACCCAGATGAGATATGAGATCGATGAACCCAAAGGCCGATGATTCTCCAAACGTTCAGGCTTCGTAGAGATAGAGATAGAGATTGAGACTAGAGACTTTTTTCCTTGTTTGCTGGCAAAGAAGTACTCGGATCTTCCTGCTATCATTTTTTTTTAATTCACTTAATTTATTGCAGTTGTTAGATTAATTAAAAAACTTATTAAATCTAGATTGCATTATTAAAAGAAAAGACAAAAAAATGTGTTGCACAATGATCTGAGTACATCTTTGATAGCACAAAATTTTAAATTGGATGTAATAGAGATAATGATTAATTCAACTTCTCTTATCTCTTGTCCCTCATCTGGGATAGCAACAGATCTCTTATCTCTTATCCTGAACAGCAATAGATCTCTTCAAATCTTATCAAACAATTTGTATCAATCTCACTGTAACAAATCTCTATAAATACTTGTACTTTTACACTGAATGAAATATAAAAAAAACATTCCTTAAGTTTTGTATGGAATCTAGTATCGTAAAGCTTGAAGATACACAAAGTTAATTATATACAATTAAATCAGTCAAATCTGTAATATAAAACAATAAATAATAAGGGACAAAAATTAGATAGGTGGGTTTGAGTGACCTAACTACTAAAGGCGGCAACAATAGTCAAAAAACTTTATTAATGAGAGTACAAGGTAGTAGGGGGAGATAGGTGAAGTGTGTAAAATATGTCCTCATGTGTAAGGGGTTTATAATTTATAGGCAAAGTGGCGGTGACATGAAAGTCAACCTATTAATTTATCAGGAAGCATAGCTATAATTAGAAATAGACACTATTTTAGAATAATAGCTATTTTGATGATTGTTCTATCACGTATATTGATTTTTCATAGATTCTTGAACTTTGGATTGAATTGAGGTCATGAGTTTAGTTTAGCCCGCCTTTTGATGTTTTTGACTTAACTTATGGACTAGACCCAGGCCTGATCTACAACTGAACTCGTCAAAGTCAACAAAATTAAGTTATCAAATAGAATCTGATCATTAAATAAAATATATAACATATACTAGGAAAAATAATTTAGGAAAGAGAGTGTTTGAGGGCGTTCAAACAAGAAGATTTGGTTGCATAACAAGAAAAAATGACAAGTTTTATTAAAAATTAATGGCGTTCAAACAAGAAGATTTAGTTGTTTGTGAGTAATTACTATAATTATGAAAGGTTTTGTAGAGAAGCAAATGAAAATAAAAAGGCCAAAAATATTGTAGAGAGACAATCTAAATCTTTCCAGTCACGGCTAAAAGGGACATATGATGAATCAACAAAAGGAAGCGACTTTTTCCTTGTTTGCAAGCAAGTACTCGGATCTTCATTCTATCACTTTGTTTTTTTTTTTTTTATTGATTTAATTTACTAACCTAATAATTCCTTTCCTACTGAGACGTACTCCAATCTTCCTTCTATCATTTTGTTTTTTTTATGAGAAAATTAAACTGAGATTTTATAAGGTTTATACTCAATCATCTAGACGCTTTGAAATTTAAAATATTATATACAAACCCTATGAGATTTATACGCGTAAAACAGAATCTGTCGCTAATATCTGTTAATAAATTACATTCAGACTACTAAAATTTGAAGTGTGTAATACTTAAACTCCTCAAGTTTAAAATATTATATTTAAACCAAAAATACTTTAATTAAAAATAAAATATTAAATATTTTAAAAATAATTATGTCATTTATTAAAAAAAATCAAAAATAAACATTTCAATTTTTTTAAAAAAAAATCATAATTAGTAATGTTGGTGCCAAAATTTAGAACTTTGAGGGAGCTTTGGAGATCGACTCTCCAATGCCTAAGCCAATAAATGACTCAAATATATGAACTGTGTTTAAAAGTTATAAGTGACATACCTAGAGCATATTGGATTAAATGAACATTTTACCTTGGGTCAATTTTTCCATCGTTAAGTACGAACATTTGAAATAAACATAGTCAACACATTTGCATGTTCCATTACATTATCAATTGACATAAAATCCAAATAAAATTCTAATTTTTTTAGAAAAAAATAGTAATTAGTATAAATATATTAAAGAATTTAATTCAACACTCATTTGCGTACAATTATATTGTCTATTAAAATAAAACTAAAAAATCAAACAAATAGTCAAACTGTAATGGATATAATACCTTCTATCTTTCATTGGAGTAATTTGATCGTTTAATAGATTCTGCTAATTCTGTAACTAATAAGATGTCTAAGTATAATATTTTAAACTTGAGAGGTCTAATTACACGCCTACAAATTTTAGGAGATCTGAATATAATTTATTAATGAATATACTAATGGACATTAATGACAAGGTTAAAGTGTTACGTACATACAAACCTCAAGAAATCTATGCGTAATATTTTAAATAACAGGAGGTTTAAGTAATTAATTGACATGCCNAATGGTTCTGCAAGAAGAATGAAACCTCATTATATAATAAATAGAGCCAAAAAAAAAGAGAAAGTAGAATTTATTTATTTTTTTTAATAAAGAGAAGAGTGTGTGGGTGGGTGAGGTTTGTGATATATATATATATACTAGTCATTACCCGTGCCTGAATGCACTCTTAACACAGAAAATTTGCCAAGCAAATGGGACATCCAGGAATGTCTTAAATAAAAGAAGTCCAAGCATTGAAATGACAAAAAANAATATAAATAGTATTATTAAACGAAAAAGAAAAAAAAAAGTGTTGCACAAAGATCCGAATACTTCTTGCTAGCACAAAATTTCAATAATGGATGAAATTATTATTGTTAAATCAACAAATTAAGTTAATAAATTGAATCTGATTATTAAATAAAATCCATGNAGTCATATATTTCTTCATGGCGGCTCTTCTTTCCAATGAGTTTCTTTTTTTTAGCCTCTTGCTAAATATAATAAATAGGTTTTCTAGTTCATATTGAATTACAAATCAAAATTTCAAAAAATAGAAAAAATACCTAGCTCAACAATATTGTTCAGCGAATCTGCTTGTAGTTGTAATGACAATTAATTTAAATTATCTACTACTATGACTTCTTGGATATTACAAAAACATTCTCACGCCACAATTAAACCAAAACAACAAAATCAAAATTTCATTACTTAAAAAAAATTGATTTAACTGACATTTTTATCGTTTTGGTATTAATTTTAAATTATTCAAGTATTTAAAAAATATGAACTGTAGNCACATTAATAAATAAAAAATTAATAATGTTAGCAGTGAGGTGAGAATTAGGGCTGCCGATGATGTTAAAAAGATATTACAAAATTCGTACAGACGATCGCTAGAAATAATATTATTTTTTAGATCTAATTAGTTGATATAATTTACTGATATAATCTATGNAAAAAATATGAACTGTAACAAGGGGAAAACGATGCATATAGGGAAAAAAAAATTGATAGTTGGTTTAGAATAGTGTTTTTTTTTGTGCATAATTTTTTTATTTTTTTTTTGGTGTAATTGATATCGCTTGTTATTTTTTTTATTAGTGATTAGCTTGATTTTGAATTNTAGAATAACATTTATTTTTAGTTTAATGATTAAAAGTGTCCAAGTCAACTTACACGCACTTTGATAGAATTAACATTTTTTTTTGATTCAACGATCAAGAGTGTTCGAACCCATTTATGCGCACTTTGATAAAATTAACATTTGATCCTAATATTTATTGGGACTCACTAGGGATGGAAATGGATTGGGGCAGAGGCGAGGGAATAGTCTCCATCCCTATACCTGCTTCAAAAATATTCGTTCATCCCTCAATTCACCCCCGTTAGCGGAGAAAATTTTAATCCCCGTCCCCGCCCCGTGAGTAAATTTGGATTCCTCTCCCTGCCATCGTCTTCAGCCATAATAATTAATTTTTATGATTTCAAGAAAAAAGTTTGAAAAAAAATAATAAAACCTCACAAATGGTTCTGCAAGAAGAATGAAACCTCATTATATAATAAATAGAGCCAAAAAAAAAAAGAGAAAGTAGAATTTATTTATTTTTTTAATAAAGAGAAGAGTGTGTGGGTGGGTGAGGTTTGTGATATATATATATATACTAGTCATTACCCGTGCCTGAAGGCACTCTTAACACAGAAAATTTGCCAAGCAAATGGGACATCCAGGAATGTCTTAAATAAAAGAAGTCCAAGCATTAAAATGACAAAAATNAGAAAATTTGCCAAGCAAATGGGACATCCAGGAATGTCTTAAATAAAAGAAGTCCAAGCATTGAAATGACAAAAAATATATTATATTAATACAATTTGAAAATCCCTATAAACTTAAATTAACACTATTACAAAATTATCTAGTCATATATTTCTTCATGGCGGCTCTTCTTTCCAATGAGTTTCTTTTTTTTAGCCTCTTGCTAAATATAATAAATAGGTTTTCTAGTTCATATTGAATTACAAATCAAAATTTCAAAAAATAGAAAAAATACCTAACTCAACAATATTGTTCAGCAAATCTGCTTGTAGTTGTAATAACAATTAATTTAAATTATCTACTACTATGACTTCTTGGATGTTACAAAAACATTCTCACGCCACAATTAAACCAAAACAACAAAATCAAAATTTCATTACTTAAAAAAATTGATTTAATTGACATTTTTATCGTTTTGGTATTAATTTTAAATTATTCAATTATTTAAAAAATATGAACTGTAACAAGGGGAAAACGATGCATATAGGGAAAAAAAAATTGATAGTTGGTTTAGAATAGTGTTTTTTTTTGTGCATAATTTTTTTATTTTTTTTTTGGTGTAATTGATATCGCTTGTTATTTTTTTATTAGTGATTAGCTTGATTTTGAATTTTTTATTTTTTATTTTTTTGGTGCAATTTAACACTTGTTATTTTTTATTGGTGATTAGCTCGACTTTTATTTTTTTTTATTTTTTTGGTGCAATTGGTAACACTTGTTATTTTTTTATTGGTGATTAGCTTGACTTTTAATTTTTTTATTGGTATTTATTTTGGCTTTTAAATATCTACAACCTGAATTTTTTTTTTAATATTTAAATATT